AGGTTCGGTGACCACATCCAACATCCACATCCCTCGTTAGCATCCAATATTATGGATTATACTTGATTCCACTATGAAGCCCAAATTGGCAACAAAGGTTACAAGAATGTTCAGAACAATCACAAAGAAGTAAAAGAATATTTATCTCTCACAATACAACAACTGATTCACTTGAATCACAAACAATCAGACACTAAGCCAACAGAATCAATTACACAACTACACGAACACTTCACATAGATATTCACTCAGAATATCTCCACTAAGGAATCACTCTATTACACAATATCATCTCGAATCAGGGATTTGATTTGGATTTTACAGAGAGAAATTAGAAAGAAGATTTCAAGCGGCGTAGCCAGAGAGAGAACAAAAGGAATGGAATGAACCCTAGAACCGACTATTCGAGAGATAATGCCAAATGAAATGGCATTAAGTATTAGAACCGTCTAGAAGTCAATCCGACGGCTGCAATAGGTCCACATGTCAATCATCCAGTAAAGCCTTTAGTATGAGTAAAAGTTGCACTTTCAAAGACACGATTTTGCCAAATTATGGGAGCTGGGAATTAAACCTGGTTCAATTCCAACAAGTTTTATCTCCTGCTACTCATTCTCATGTCGAAGGTCAACGGGGGATGGTCCCAAACTCTTTTTACATATAACTAGGTGACGGAAGTGATCGGCAATACCTTGCTCCTCGTAGGAAGACAAAAGGTTGTTGACATGATAGTTCACTATCAATTTCCAGCAAATGTAATATTTTTTTTCTTTTACTTTTACGTTGGTACAACTTCTTAATAAAGAAAAGGAAAAAATTTAGAATGTAAAGCGAAATGTTTATTGAGAAAATGGATTTTTTCCACCTAATTTTCTACATTTGTACTGTTTTATTGGAAAAAAATTCCACAAAAAATATTTTCATATTTTTGGTCACGTGATCATATTTTTTTTAGAAAAAAGTGATTTTTATTTTTCAAATAATTCACTCTCTGTTTTTCTCTCTCATCTATCCCCTCTCTCATCTACCCACAAAAAAAAAGACAAATATAATATCTTTTAGGTTGAAAACAAAATCAATTAAACATATTTAATTAATAGTTTTTATACAATTAAGTTCAAGACAATTGAATTACCTAGAATTTATTTTATTTACATACTAATTTCACACTCGCAATTAAATGCACCCTAACACTCTTTAAAACTATTATGATAAGACTTTTCTTTTCAAAAATTTCTGAGAACTTTGGCCAATTATTCGATATAATTGATTCTTCAATTATATGTTTTTTTTTCAAGCAAGCATCGAATGGGTATGTGTCGAGCGAGAGTCACAATTTCTATAGAAAAAGTAATAGAGACATGAAAAGATTTCTTTGACATTGAATGCAAAGATAGAAGGGAGTTCGATTGCTAGACCCATTGTTGATAGGGACATTGAGTGTAAAATAATTAGCAGAAAGATTTCAGATTTTTTTAATTTCTAAAATATTAAGAAGTATCAGAGGTTTTTACAATTTTCTTTATAACTAGTGTGATTAACGTGCGTTGCTCTTTAGTTGTTTAATGTCGAAAATAAATATATGTAAATTTCATAGAAATTCATTCGTAAACATGAAAGA